TCTGTTTTTCTAATCCCACTTTATTATGGAAATACTTGTTTTATTTTTTAAGTTTAGAATAAAATAAATACATTTTAAAAATTGTTACATATTTTGACCACATATCTATTTAAGAATAGCTCTTAGTCTTACATATTTGTTGTAAGTCAGGGCAGCTAGGTGGTGCAATGGATAGAGCACTGGCCCTAGAGTCAGGAGGAACTGAGTTCAAATCCAGCCTCAGACACATAACACTCACTAGCTGTGTTACTCTGGGCAAGTCACTTAATCCCAATTGCCTCACCAAAAAAAAAAAAACCAAAACCCAAAAAACTATATTTGTTGTGAGTCTAAGACAATTCTCTATATATCTTGGATACATAAGACATATATGTAATTTGTAAGAGAATTCTCTATATATTTTGAATATGAAACTTCTATCAGACATGTGACAATCAAATTTTTCCCCATTCAGTAGCTTCTATTTCTCATTATAGCCAAATTTCTTTTGTCCATGTAAAAGCTTATAAATTTTACACAATCAAAATTATCTCTTTTATCTTTTAAGATCACCTCTGTTCCTCTGTTTGGTTATGAACTATCCTTTCTAAACACAATTGTGAAAGTAATCTCTTATTTCTCTCTCTTTTTTTGTTCTGATTGACTCTGATTGGAGCTTATTGTGGGATATGGTACAAGGAAGTAATCTAAACATATTTTCTGCCAAACTGCTTCCTAACTTCCTCCAAAGTTCTTATCTGCCTAAATGTTGCATTATTATAGAATTTATTATTATTATTTTACCTGAAGTTGCAATTTTTACAGGTCCTGATTATGCAGCTCCCTCTGTTTGCATAGATCAGCAGCTGTTCTCTAAAGATTTAGAAAATTTCCTAGGGAACTGAAAGGTTAAATGATTTGCCCGGGGAATCATAACTAGCATGCATTAGAGGTGAGATTTGAATGAAAGTTATAGTGATGCCAATGCTGGCCTTCTACTCACTAGCTCACACTCTTAGAATGTCATTGCTATGTCTCGGTATATGACACTCATATATTCTACAATATGAGGTTGGGTAATACCAGCTGGATAATTTTGGACAAGTAGGGCTACTTCTTTTGGTGCCTCTGCTTCACTGCAGAACAGTCAGTAGTCAACAAGTATTTGTAGTGTCTGCTATGTGCCAGTAGCTGTGCTAAGCACTGAAGATTAGAATATTAAGCTAATCTCTAAAGTCTCTTCCACAGCTAATGTTTGATGGTTATTTCAGAAATCAAGCATTTTAAAGGCACACTTAAATTCACTGTAATTCATATTTATCTTGTTTCATCCCAAGCACTATTAGACTTGAAGCCTATCAGACCTACGGCCATACATACACACATACAGATAGATATTATTTATGTATTTATATATATATATATATATATGTACACACACACACACACACTATGGCTAGTTATATGTTATATGTTTCCCCTACACTTCACAGGACCTAGTGAAAGAGCTCTTTCCAAGATTGAGGTCCTGTTTGTCTCTTCTACTCTGTGAAAGGAGAGCCTAGGGGTAGAGTCAGGAAGGAGATGGAAGTATTTGCTTCCTCTCTGGAGAGGAACCACCTTCTTCATCTCCATGACTACTAACAGATTCAAAGACTGTTGAACAGGAATGAATTTTAGAGATCCTGTTGACTTTACAGATCATTTAAGTCAACTCCTTCAGGTCATAAATGAGGAAACTGAGTCCTAGAGAAAGGAAGTAACTTGCCCAAAGTCATACAGCAAAATTAAGGAAGAGTAAGGATTAGAGCTACACTCTTGAGTCTCAGCCCAGGTTTTTTGCCTCTGTGCCACATTGTCTTCTCCTCTTTCCAAATCCTCTGAGTTATTCCCAATGAATAACAGAGTCCTCCACCAGACTCTGAATATAAGAAGTTTATTAGAAAACAAAGAGATGGAGTAATATGTGAAGATGCTTCATTCATCATAGAACTGGGGTAGCTCCTTCCCCAGGGTGATTTCCTGTTTGGAAGGCAGCTGTGGTGGTGACCAAATAAGATAACCCCTCCACTGAAGCCATCCTTGCCCATGGCCAGAGCAATAGCTATTGAGAGATTTGAACAGGCAGGGGAAGAGGCAGGTTTATCCTGATTATAGACCCTCTTGTTTATCTCTCTAGGCTATTCTCAGAGCCCAGGGTATCCATCTCTTTGGGAGGTTTATCCCCTTTTATTGCTGCTCCCTCCCCAAGGACTACTGTTCTAGTCCTAATTTCCTCCCTTCCCTTCCCCAAGGGATAGTTACCATTAAAAGTGAACTGTTGGCACTCCTCAGGGGACATGTCTGGTTTATAGATGGCATCCACATAGCCATAAATGTAAGTACTCCCAGAGCCCCCATAGCAAAAGGCTGTCGAATCAGCATCCCTTCTAAGGTCCTATACACCTGAGATAATATGATCAAAAAGTAAGATGATGATGATGATGATGATGATGGTAACTAACATTTATATTGCACTTAATATATGCCAGGCAATGTGCTAAGCACTTTACAATTATTATCTTATTTGATCTTCACAACAACCTTGGGAAATAGGTGACATTATTATCCCCATTTAACAGATGGGGAAACTGAGGCAAAAAGAGGTTAACTAACTTGCCCAGGGTCACACAGCTAGTAAATGTCTGAGGCCAGATTTGAAACAGTTCTCCTCTTTTGGAGTCCCAGAGGAGAGAGCCTCAGTCCCCTAGGCCTTATATTCCACACTTCAAGCCTCACACTAAAACCACACATTAACCTCCAGCAACAGTAGCTCTGGCCCTCATTGGCAGGATGACTTGTGACCACTCTGGCTAATTATAAGCATAGTGATCCTTTTGGGAGGGTCTCACCTGGCCTCCTTGGTATGGATCCCAGCCAGCCACCGTCAGGTGGGCTGAAAGCTCTTCTCGGTATTTGTAAGTGATATTCCTTGCAGCAGACAGAACAAAGGGGGCGGTTCTTCTAGCTCCATCCTGGGGAGATTGACAGCCATTGTCCCCTGAACTATCACACTACTGCATCTCTCTCCAATCCTCATAAACCAAACATGAAAACTTATACCTGTAATACTCCTAACTCCAATTTCACTACACTTTTTATTTTTCACTATCTCCCCTTTGTTGTCTGCTTCTCCCTCTCCACCCCAACACAAACTACAAATTCCTTTGATGGGGGATGGAGTCATTCTCATGGTGTCTAAAGAGGTCTACACCCTCCCCACCACCCACCTACCACAATCTCCCTACTCTGTGTGTGTTAAGTAGCATTGGGATAGGGGAATGTAATGAAGAGGGAGATATCTAGCTGCAGTAGTTTGGATGGGGAGTATGTGAAGAAGAGGATAAAAAATCCCAAGACCATTCCTGGCTCATACCCATGAAGCTGCAGCTGGTAGGTGGCCATGTCAGCTATGGCCTGGGCGTCAGCAGCCGAACCAGACAGTGCATAGTAGATTTGTTGGTGCAGAGGGCTTAGCTTGTTAAACACTTGGTTCACTACAGCTGCTCTGAATGGTGGAGGAAGGAGATGATAAGGGAGAGGGTATTAAGGAAGAGACATGAGAATAAAGATCTGATCCTTATTTGCTCATCCTTTCCAGTTACACTTCTCAATTATCCTGGTCTTCTCACTCTTAGCAAAAATATCCTCCACCCCAGTATTTCTGTTTCACCTAATTATACCCTTATCTAAAGTCTTCATCCCTTTAAATTTCCTTCCATAGTCTACTTCCAACTTCTTATTATACCAACCCCTGCTTTGTTATTCATGTTGACCCCCAACTGTTCCAAAACTACTTCCACAATGCTTCTTATGCCTGGGATAGGCAACATGCCCATTTGGGGAGAGGGTCCTAATCCCTGATCCTCCCCTGATACTTACCCTGCAGAAACTCGGGAATCAGAACCTACCATGACAACACCATCAAACTCCACTGCCATTATAGTTGTCTATAGAAACATAAACTTTTAGAATGTTAAAGCTGAAAAACACCTTTACACTCTCCCCCTCATTTTACAAGTAACAGAAAACAGACAGATTACAAGAAACAGACACATCAAAGCTGTTACAAGTTTGGTTAGTGGCAAAGCTGGAAGTCGAACCCAACAGATCTGATTTCCAATATACTATTCTTGCCATTATGTCCCACTCCTTTATATGACAGGAAGGAGGTATCTCAACCTGGCTAAGGGTCAGACCCTTTCCCCAAACCAGGACCACAGTGCCTAAATCTTAGATTCCCCCAAGGACGTCCTTCCCTATCATAGGGAAAAGAATATTGGGAAAATCCAGGGACCACTTGTTACCTTTTTGGGGAGGGAAGGTTGTGAGATGCTGGATTGAGGAAAAGTTGCGATTACCTTTATAGGCCTGGTTTTTCCCATGTTGAAGTGACCTCCAGTGGAAAAAGTTTGAATGTGATGTTTTCTATCTAGTTATTTTCTATCACTATAGTCCAAGTGACCACGGGGCTCCTTCCTGGAGGGTAGCTTCTTCTCTCTTCCCCCAAATCCCCTAAGATACCTTGCCAAGTTTCCCCAGCAGCCTTTAGAGTTCATCCGCACAAAGCCGTTAACCCCTCTCCATCCCTTTTTGCTGTCCCTCGAGCCTCTTACCCCGGTGTGGACTTCTCCGACTCCGGGAAGGTCCCCAAAATAAGAACTCCCCCACATCCTACCAGCGCTGTGCATTGCTCCTCTCCGCCCCCCGCAGTGCTTTCTGACCAGGGATAGCGCGCCAGCCCCGCCCCTTCTTGCTCCGCTTTCCTCCAGGGGGCACCTCTGTAGTATTGGCCTGCGGTACAGTTCAGCTCCTAACCTGTTTCGGGCTGATCTGCTCGGTGACTGGTGACGCTACATCCTGAGGAGGACCAGCTGGAGGGAGTGGTTCTTCTGAGCCGAGAACTGAGCTACTTGTGGGGTTGAGGTTGCTGTGGGGGGGGGGGGGTTGGGGGGGGGGCAAGGCGGCTTTCTTTCCCCATACATTTCAAGTCTCAGACCCAGGTCTGGAATCTCCTGGGTGGGGCGGTCTTGGCGGGGCGGATCCAGTGAACCTCGGTAGCTTTCGGTTTCTTTTCCTGGAAACGGCTTTGCTTCTCGCCATTGAGAAGCCTGGCACAGTTCGCTGCCTGAGATTATCTGAGGCACTGGCTGCGGCCCGCCCCTTTCTTTACTCCTAGCCCTGTTGAGGAGCCTGCTTGGGACACAGACACCAACACACCCTCTGGACCCAGACTTTTAGCCAAAGGGCGGAGAGACGCAGAGGAGCCCGTCTCAGGACCCCGGACAGCGCCCCGCGCATGGCTGGCTCCGGGTCTCCCGGGTCGCTCCTATGCCCCCGAACCTCTTCTGGGCGGCTGCAGATGCTGCTCTTGCTGCTCATGGACTGGGCGCTGCTCCGTCCGGCGCTGCCTCAGCTCCTGTTCTTGCTCCTGCCCACTGGGCCTCCGCTTCTCCGGCTCTGGGCTACTGGCCTGGGCCGCTGGGGGATTTTGTGGTTGGGGTTGCATTGGACCACTAACCAGGAAGGGGTCCACGCTAAAAGCTGGAGGACTGCCCTGGGGCCCCTGACGGCGGTGCTGGGACTGGCGCTGCCCGGGCTCGCCTCATTCAGGGCTCTGGGACGGAGGGAGGCGGGTGGAGGCGGGGCCGGGCCGCTGCACTGGGGGAGCCGGCTCGACGCTTTCGCTCTCAGCTATGCCGTGGCACTGCTGGCGCTTTTCCTGTGGCAGAAACTTGGAGATCTTTGGGTGCCGGGGAGTCCCACGGGCTCGGCGTCCATCATACACCGGCTGCTGGGCTTCCTGGGCCCAGAACTGCGTCGCTTCCCGCTAGTCATGTTCTTCCTCCTGTTGTCCTGTCTAGGTGAGGAGAGGGAGGATGCAAGGGACTGGGCAAATTGGGGAGAATTGAAGATTATGGGCGGTGAGTCAGGGGGACACGAGAGAGATTCAGAGGTAGAGCTTCCTACCCAGAACATCTGACCTGAGTCAGGAGATCTGCATCCTAATGCTGTGTGTTAAGCTGTATGACTCTGGCAAATTCATCTTACCTTTCTGGGCTTCTGTCTCAGATGTACGATTGGCCTGTGTAATCTCATAGGGGCCTAACAGAGGAGGTCTAACATCCTATGGTTTGTGGAGAGAGTATTGGGGTATAACTGTGTGATGAGAGCATTGTCTTTCTCTGTACCAAGGAAGATGGGGATGTAGTCCAGCTGCAAGTCCCCAGCCTTGATATAGTAAACCTCCAATAAGCACCTATTAGTTGATTAATTGTCGCTCTCTCCCTCCCTGATGCTACCTCATCACCTCCAGGAGAGATGGCTATCCCTTTCTTTACTGGTCGCTTCACAGACTGGATCCTGGAGGATGAAGCAGCTGCCATCTTCAACCGCAACATCGCTTTCATGTCCATACTCACGCTAGTCAGGTCTGGGAACTGGGCTTGGAAACTCAGAGAATGGGGAACTAGGGAACTGAGGAGGTTGGAAGCTAGGCCTGCACTCTGGGCAGGTTGATACAGCGGAAGACTCCCTCACCCCCAAATATTAAGCCTCCACATAATCCTCCTCCCTTCCTCTCATTTCTTTCCAGTGCTTTGTTAGAGTTCTTGGGTGATGGAATTTATAATTACACAATGGGCCGAGCTCACAGCAACCTTCAGGGACAAGTGTTCCGGGCTGTGCTGTCCCAGGATACTGACTTTTTTCAACAGAACCAAACAGGTGAGTCCTGTTACCTGCACACAAGACATTCTTATACTCCTTACACCAAGAAGCATCAAACATTCATTAAGCACCAGCTTTATTCAGAGAGCTGTGCTGGGTGTGAGGGGAGATAGAAAATTTAGGTAAGACTCAGTCCTTACCCTCCTGGAGCTTATTGTCTAATAGGATGAAGAGGGGCCACTCACTACATCAAATTCAATGTGAGATCTAGTTCAAGGAGCTTTAAAATGAGGACATTTGATCAGTTACCCCTAACTTTTGACCCCAAAGGCCTCCCCAAATCAATGAGCATGTGGTAATTCAGGGGTTCACACCAAGGAACAAAGAGAAAACCATGCACGAGACTTCTGTCTCCAAGGGACACATATCAAAGAATAGTCTATAAAGCTGGATGAAGCCTGAAGATTGCTGGAGACAGGAGTAATGCTGTGGTCTTCAAAGGAAGGGCAACATAGCATAGTGGATACAGTCCTGGACTGGAAGTCAGGAAGACCTGGGTTTCAATCCAGCATCAGGCACTTACTGGCTGCATGACCCTGGGGCAAGTCTTTCAACTTTTGTTTCTTCATCTGTAAAAAAAAAGGGGTGGATTTGTTGCCTCTTAGATCCTTTCCAGTTCTAAATCTTCTTTGCTGTCATCTGTGTCCCAATTGACCTGATGCTGTGGCAGCTTCAAATATGGCTTCCCAGCTTCTCCTTTTTGTACAGGGAAAGACTCATCTCTAATGCATGTTAAAATGCCTTTTTGGGGAGGCAGGGTTTCTCATATGGGAAATAATGGGGTACAAGATGTTATCTGAAACCTTTGCTTCCAAATTTCTACTTTTAGATTTTTGAGTATAATAGTTGTTTGAAGGTGAGGGTTTGGGAAGCCTATGGAATTAAAATGCTTCCTAATCTACTCTTCACCAACAAAGGGAGATGATGGAGGATCTGATGTATGATCCCAGTTGCCATGGGGCAGGGCCCTTTGAGCCCAGATGTATATTTACCTGTATAGTCATATTTCAGAAGATGGAGGAGACCTTTTTGGCTGGGTAGAAGGGTGAAAGCAAAAAATTGTAAGAAGTAACTAAGCTTACCTAGCTATACAAGATAGTTTGTCAATCAATATTTATGAAGCAACTGCTATGTGCTAGGTGGGGCAGCTAAGTGGTGCAGTGGATGGAGTGCCAGGCCTGGAGTCAGGAAGACCTGAGTTCAAATCCAAGCTGAGTGACCCTGACTTAACCCTATTTGCCTCAGTTTCTTCATCTGTAAAATGAGCTGGAGAAGGAAATAGCAAACCACCCTGGTAGCTTTGCCAAGAAAACCCCAAAAGGTCTCACAGAGAGTTGGACAAGACTAATCAACAAAACAACAGTGATGTGCTAGGTACTGTGCTAAGCACTGTGGATATAAAAAGGGAGAAGACAGCTCCTTCCCTGAAGGAGTTTATAATTTAATGAAGGAAGACAACATACAAAAGGAAGGTTAAAAAGGAATGGAAGCATACGGGTAGTACCCAGCTCAGGGGCATGATGGGGAAATTCAAAAGAGTGGAATGCAGTTAAGATGGAAATGAAGAGAAGGCTTCCCTGGGCACTCTCCTTAAATGGAGGCTCTGGGAGAAGCTCTTTACTTTCCAATCAGATGGAGCAAAGGGCCCCAGGGGCAGAGGGTGCTGATGCAGTATGAGTTCCAGGGCTGAAGTGATTTTGCAGAATAAAGAGGTCCCCAATGATGGAGATGTCCAGAGGAGTACATCTGGGTGGAATAGTAATGGAGTAATATGGGTAAGGGTATTCCCGTGGAATTCTGCCTCTAAATTCCCTGGCCAGTAGGAGGAGGATGACTTTGGGTCATTTTCCCAAGTGAAAATCAAAAGTTTTCTGATCAAGGAACTTACAACTTTTCTTCTAAAGATTCTACATATGAATGCTATAAGAGAGGAGGAAATAAAATTCCAAATTCTAACATGTGTGTGCACATGTGTGAAGCCTTAATTATTAATCTCTGTATAAATGTGCGTGTACATTTATGTTTTCTGGCAACAATGTCAATTAATTTCTATTCCTAAGTGTAAGAGTGCTGCTTAAAGTTACAGAATTCTAAGAAGCAAGTATGTCCTTATGCATAATGTAAAGGTCACAAAGTAGACACTGAGATGAATCTTGTCAATCATAGTTTAAGGGGCCCTATAGCATCTAAGGAACAGAACACTAATATGGCTAGCTACAATACGCAATATCAGATGATACATATGATAGAACGTTAGGAGGAAGAAAAATGCTCTTTGTAATCTGAAGGATAAGAGAAAATCGAGGTAGGCTTCTTGGGGGGTTGTAGCACTGGAGTTGAGCTTGAAAGAATGTATAGAAATTCACAGGCAAAGGTGGGGAAAGAGGACATTCCAGGCATAAGTAACAAAGACATGTTGGCATGAGAGCACAGCTTATGAGGATAGGGAGCAGATTGTATAGAGAAGAGTATTATGAAATGAGTGAAAGAGTGGGGGATTGGGGAGGACCTTGAATGACAGACAGCAGGAATATGAATATTATTTAGTAGACCATAGAGAACTTCTGAAAACTTGTGCAGAGGAATTGACATGATAAAATCTATGCACAAGAATGAATCTTCTGGTGGCAGTATGAAAGATAGACTAGGGGGAGAAGAGAGTAGGGACAAAAAGCCTCTTGCAGTATACCAAGTGGGTGGAAATTAGGGGGAAGGTCTTTCCCAGGGTGTTGACAGTGGGAACAGAACAGACCCCCCCCCCACTCCTCTCTTTCCTTATGCCTTTTATACAAACCTATCTAGTACTCATTATACTTTCTTTGACCGTTTAAGCCAAAGATCAGAGAGGACACACTACTATGTGTATCCCATTTTTATAAAAATATTAGCCCTATACTCCCTTTATTCTCAGAACTAGAGAGATTTGCCTCCTAAGACTCTTGCTGTGCCCCTATATAGTCCCAATAACTTGCCATGTTTAGGACCCTTGGTCCTCTGGCTCCATGACTGCCCAGCAAGGAAGTCCTAGATTCCCAAGGAGAACTTTTGATCCTGCTCTTGCACCCAGCCTCACACACCCCTCTCCAATCTTCTTGGAACTCTACAAGCCCTTACACAGTGACTGAATTGATGAGCCCCTACCCACATTCCAAAATTTTCCCAGACATCTTCCTATTTATCCCAGCCTTTCTTCATATTTCCATTTCCCCTCCCAAATACTCTAGACCCTCAACTTTTCTTCCTCTTTCTTAGGTGCTATCACCTCTCGGGTGTCACAGGACACAGCCAAACTGAGTGAGTCCCTGAGTGAGGAGCTAAGCCTGCTCTTGTGGTACTTTTTTCGAGGACTGTGTCTGCTGGGACTTATGCTCTGGGGGTCCCAGACCCTCACCCTTGTCACACTGATTGCTTTGCCTGTGCTCTTCTTCATACCCAAGGAGCTGGGCAGGTGGTACCAGGTAAGTCCAGGGAACCTCTCTTCTCCAGCATCCTTCCTCACCTTTGGCTCTACCTTCATGAGCCCCAGTCTGTTCTTTACACTTAGCTTTGACAACCTTAGTTTCTCTGGCCCCTTTGCCCCTCCCATACTTAAAAAGACTATAGGGTGCATAGTCTTTGCCCTGTGGCCATGATGATTCTCTTGCCTGAATTCTGGCCCTTTTCTACCATAGACTCTGTCTCTAGGTCATTCTTCAGCCATTTTCTTCACCATGTCCCCTTATCATGCCAATTTTCTACAGTCCTTTCTAGGATACTCTTTCCTTCTCCCTCTATTCTTCTCTCTTCTCTGGGTACCCAAATTCTGGAATCCTTATGTTCCTATAGTTCCCAAGGTGATTGGTATATCCCTTCTGCTTTCACTCTTCCCTGTGTCTTTGTATTCTTTGACTCTAGTAATGGTGTCTCTATGTCCTTACATGAGAGAATAACAAAAACAACAATAGCAATGGCAATTATAATAATAATGATAATAATAATAATAGTAATAATATTTTCTGTCATTTACATAGTGCTTTAGCATTTGCAAAGCACTTTATGTATGTTCTCTTATTTGATCCTCACAACATCCCTGAGAGGTAGAAGCTATTAATATCTCCACTTTATAGATGAGGAAACTCAGGCTGGGAGAAGTTAAGTGATTTGCCTAGGGCCACATAGTTAGTGTCTGAGGGATGATTTAAACTCAGGTCTCCTTGGCTCCAAATTCAATTCTCTATCTACTATACCAACTAGCTGATCATATAATATTATTTTTAATGACACATCCACAGATTACTTTATAGATTACAAAGTTCTTTCCTCACACCCATCCATGAGTTAGCTAGTGTAAATGTTATTTCTATTTTTTTTCTATTTATATTTTTCAGTGAAGACCAGACAACATAAATAACTTGTCAGATCACATGGCTAACCAGCTGGTAGCTGGACTTACACTGGAATTCACAATTCCTAACTTCCCAAGCAGTACTCTTGGCACTGTTTTCTTACACTGCCTCCCTTTTCCAGCAGAGCCCTGGGGAAATGTCCAACTATCCCCTGACATTGTCCCCTTCTGTGGACTGGGGACATAGAGAGTGCTCAGATCCACAGGACTGCCTTCTCTTTTCTTTCACACCATCAATTTCTGTATAATCATATGAAAATATGCTAAGAAAATCCTCTCCGCACAACAGTGTTGCTACCCTCTGTCCCCACAGTCCCTGGCAGTCGAAGTGCAGACATCCCTGGCAGAGTCAAGCCAGGTGGCTGTGGAGGCACTGTCTGCTATGCCCACAGTCAGAAGCTTTGCCAATGAGGAAGGAGAGGCACGGAGGTTTGCCCATCAGCTCCAGAAGACACAGAAACTTAACCAGAAGGAGGCATTGGCCTACACTGTGAACATGTGGGCCACCAATGTGAGTACCTGGGGATAGAGTACCCACTTCCTAGCCTAGCACTTATAGACCCCAATCCACATCCAGGGACTTCTGGGCCAAATTTTCCATTTTAAGACCTTGAGGTAAAACTCCCATTCTCATGATTGGCCTCATAGCTTTTCCTCTTATTTGAGGTTCTACATAGTTGCCTTCATCAAAGGGTTCCAGAGCATTGCCTCCTTTACATGGAGATAACTTGTCTTTCTTCTCTGTGGTCCTTCTTTTCCCAGACCCCTTAAGGTGCCATGAGGTCCCTGCATCTTGCCTCTCCCTTTCTTGTGGCCTCTTAGGCACCAGAGTGCATGTAGGGAGGAACTTGGGAATAAGAGAGCATATTTTTTTTGTTCAGTGGGCATGGATAGCATGAGTTCAGAGAAGGTCCTTAGTTCGTTCCCTAGAACTCCACACCTGTTCTTGTGGCTGTTGCTTTTATATGGAAGTAGGGAAGTATTGGCCTTAGGTGTCCAGGGCTCTAGGTATTTTATGATACCTAATGATGTGACTCTTGGAGTATACTTGAGGCTCCGATGCTATTATTTCCATGAATGTGATATAGTTATCCTTATAATCTTCTGCTGCCCCCAACTTGTATTCTCTGATCTATTCCCAGTTCTTAGGACTCCTGCTGAAGGTGGGCATTCTGTACATAGGGGGAAAGATGGTGACTCACGGGGATGTGAGTAGAGGAGACCTTGTCAACTTTGTCCTTTACCAGATCCAGTTTACCACTGCTGTTGAGGTGAGACCCCCATTGCTCCTTATTCCTCCTCTCCCATCACTTTCAGCATGCTTTTCCCAGCTCTCCTGTCAGATATCCCAGACAACACATGGTGTCCCCTCACCCTCCTCATGGCTCATCCCTTTTCTTTCAGGTACTGCTCTCCACCTTTCCAAGTGTACAGAAGGCTGTGGGAGCCTCAGAGAAGATCTTTGAGTACTTAGACCGGATACCCCAATGCCCTTCCAGTGGTCCCCTGGCACCTCCTACCCTGCAAGGCCTCGTAGAGTTCCAAGATGTCTTCTTTGCTTACCCCAGCCGGCCAGATGTCTTGGTCCTACAGGTGATACATCCTCCCTCTCACACTCCACTTCTTCCAGTTCCTAGCCTATCAGATGCTTCTGGGATAATATCTTTCCTCAATTCATCTCTCTTCTTCCATGGGATGGATGAGATGCTTTTGCTTTAACCTCCCCTAATCTTTTCACACAAGGAAGAGAAAGGATCAGAGAGAACCCACCTACAGGGTTTTCCCAAACTCACAAATCAGCTTGGTTGTCTCCAGGGAGCCATAAAAAACTCACTAAGAGGTGTCCCCACTTTCCCCCTAGTCTGGCAGTGGGGACTGAGATCCTGTTTTTCTTCTCAACTCTCTTCTATTCTCCCTTCTCTTTCCTTTTCTCTTGTATGCAATAATTACACTAGCCCTGTATGTATGTGTGGTGGTGGTGGTATCTGTGCACCTGTTTGCCCAGGGGATAGGTTCTCTCTGTCTCTTCCCTGATGCCTTCCCTTTCTTGTTCCTTTAGGGAGTGACATTCACTCTGTGCCCTGGGAAGGTGACAGCCCTAGTGGGGCCCAATGGGGCTGGGAAGAGCTCAGTGGCTGCACTGCTGCAGAATCTCTATCAGCCTACAAAGGGCCAGCTGCTGCTGGATGGAAAGCCACTGCCCCAATACCAGCACCGATACCTGCACTCACAGGTGAGGAGGATCACCTGGGTGGGTCAGAATACCCTTGGGAGAATAGGTCAATGAAGGAATGAATAGGAGAAAGAAGGGCAGGCAGAGCTCCTGGTCCTAGCCCAGCAACATCCTTGTTGGTGGATGTGACAGAGATAAAGAATTTATTGTGAGGAATGGAAATACCCAAGCCCTGACTTGAGCTCCCTCTCCTCCTGCCTTCACCTTCCCTTACTTCTGGCTCATCCCAGGTAGCTGCAGTGTCACAAGAACCACAGCTGTTTGGACGGAATCTATATGAAAACATAGCCTATGGGCTGGGCTGGAAGCCAGAGCTAGAGGAGATCATGGAGGCTGCCAGGCAGGCTGGAGCTCACAGTTTCATCTCTCAGTTGCCCCAGGGCTACTACACAGGTACTGTGAATATTCACTCCCAAGTAGACATATCCCTTCCCCACCAATACCTGACTCAATCCATTCCATCTTTAACTCGGCCCTCTATCAGAGATAGGCATGGAATGAATGAATCATTGAAAAAGTATTTAATCAATACTAGAGGAAGGGAACAAGGAAAAGAGAACAATAATTTACTAAGTGCCTACTATGTGCCAGGCACTTTGCTACGTGCTTTACAAATGTTATCTTATTTGATTTTCACAACAACCCTGGGAGGTAGGTGGTGTTATCATCTCAAATTTTGTTACTGAGGAAACTGAGGCAGGCTTGTCAGGGTCACACAGCTAGTTAAGTGTCTGAGGCCTTGCTTGAACTCAAGTCTTCCTGACTCCATGCTTAGGCTTTATCCACTATGCTACCTAGCTGCCTCAAAAATATAAAATGTTCAAATCCAGTCTCAGACACTTACTAGCTGGGTGACACTGGACAAGTCACTTAACTTCTGTTTGCCTCAGTTTCCTCATCTGTAAAGTGGGGATAATAATAGCACCTACCTCCCATGGTTCCTGGGAGAGCAAATGGAAATAATAATTGTGAAGGGCTTAGCATAGTGCCTGGCAAATAGTAAGTGCTATATAAATGTTACCTATTATTATTAAGTGATAACTGTGTGCCAAGCACTGTGCTAAGTGTTGGGGTTACAAATACCAAGGTAAGAAAGTCCCTCCTCTCAACTAGCTTATCTTCTAATAAAGAAAGGCAACACATATAGGTGAGGAGTAGCCAAGGAAAAGAATTTTAGACTGTCGAATCACAGAGATGATGAGTAATCCATACAACAGTCCTTTTTAGAAGCAATGGTACTATTGATAGCATGACTGTGTCCAAAGGAAGAGGTGGAAAGGGAAGGCAAGTGTACACATGCAATTGCAGGGCCCAAGGCAAAATATCCACATGGATGAGTGGATGGCATATGGGACATGGTTTGGGGCTGACTAGTTATAGTGGGCTCCCCTGATTTTGGGAGTTTGCTCCCCTTCATTCAAGAGTCTAGACAGTTCAGACTCCTGTCTTCTAGGGCAGGAGTTACAAAGATGGGTGGATTAAGGCCTTTGGAATCTCATTCCTTGGTTTCCATGGACTCTCACAGACTATCTACTATCCCACTACTGTGTTGAGGAACTGGTCTCAACCCTATCCATCTTCTTTACTCCAAGGGAGAAAGCATATGTTTTTGTGTGGCTGTTAATGGTCCTGCTCTCAATGCATCTGATTCTCTCTTCAGAGATAGGAGAGTCTGGGAGCCAGCTGTCAGGTGGTCAGCAGCAGGCAGTGGCTCTGGCTCGGGCTCTGATCCGGAATCCCCGGGTCCTCATCTTAGATGATGCCACCAGTGCCCTGGATACAGACAACCAGTTGAGGGTGAGACAGCAATCTCTTCAACTCTCCCTAACTCCCAAATCCGTCAAGCTGAAAGCAACCCTGATTCTTCCCTTGTGTGCCCAGAGAATTTTCTGCTTGAGAAAGCCTACACCATACAAATCTTCTAGATAAAATCCTTAAATTTAACTCCTTTTTTTCCCTTTATTTTTATCATCATTACCATTAGCACCACCAAAAAACCTTGATTAACCACAGAGATATGCCTAGGGATGTGCTGGGTTTATTCTTCTCTCCCTAGACCTCATAGGATTCTTACACCACTTCTTTGGGATGGGAGAGCAGTAAGGGGCCACTGTGGTTGAGATAGTTAATGCCAATGACATTAATGCTATGGTTTGTGCAAGAGGTTTACTAACAGCATCTGTGCCTTCTTCCTGCAGGTGGAGCAGCTTGTGTATGAGGCCCCCAGAAGGGCCTCTCAGGCAGTGCTACTCATCACCCAACGTCTCAGCTCTGTGGAAAGGGCTGACCACATACTCTTCCTGGAGGAGGGGGTCATTCAGGAGAGTGGGACCCATAGGCAGCTCATGGAGCAAGGGGGCCGATACTGGACCATGGTGGAGGCCATAGGTGGGAACTCAGCTCCTCAAGAATGAGGGACATACTTGAATCCCCCTTATGGGGAAGCCATAGCTCTTCTCTCATTTCCTGAAAATGGAAGGACAGAGGAAGAATTTCAGCCTCTTTTTGCCACGTGATATAATTTAGCAGTTCCAGAAAGGTTTTCCATGACACAATTATACTCCTACTAATTATATTCCCATCATCTACATTAATTCCTTTGGTTTAAGGTTTTCTACTACAAACTCCTCTTTGCTAGTGGAGGGGAAGGCAAAGAAGCCCTTAATGGGAACAACTTAGTGGGAATTCATTCATTCTTTCAACAAGCACTTATTAAGCACCAACTTTGTGCCAGCACTGTTCTAGGCACTGGAGATATGAAGACAGACAAAACAGCCCCTGTCCCCAAGGTGATTATGTTTTACTACCACCTAGTTCTAGATCTTGTAAAGTATAGATAACAATGTAGTTATCAGTCATATTTTATAGAGCCAGAGTTCAAGACCTTTGAGTTGAAAGGGCACAGAAAGTGAGGAAGAAAGTTGCCAGAGAGGTTGACTGGGGCGTCTCCATATATAATGTGGTGATATGGGTATTGGAGGATCAATTCTCTATTCTACTGATAGAAATATTGTGGAAATGCTTGGTATTGAGAATAAACTTGGTATTTTCTTAAATTTTGTGTTTCCTCTGTTTTTCTAGTTGCAATAGCTCAAGGCGTCTGCAACTTTTCTCCTAGATGTTGTGCCAACTAAGTACTGGAATCCTCAGAACTCACCTTTTCTTATCCTCTTACTCCTGGTCTCCTAAAAGAGTATGGCTAGAAGTACACAGTTGGCATCAGAAGATTTGGGTGTTCAGATTTTTGTTATTTGCCAGTTGTGTAACCTTTGGCAAATTACTTAGACTCTTTGAGCCCCCTTCCTCTCTTTCATTTTCAGACTATGCCTATTGGTATAGATTGGTCTTTCCTGTTATATAAAAATAAACCCAGATCTCCCTCATTCCTTAAAGCCTGCCATTCCCTAAAGCTGTCATCCTCCATCTTTCCTTCATTTAATGTCCAAACTCCTATCAAAGATCTTCTACACTCACTGACTCCATTTCCTCACCTATCACTCGTTTCTCATTTCCTGTCATTTGGTTTCTGTCCCCCCATCATTCAGCTGAAACTGTTTTCTCCAAGGTTAATGAAGATCTTTTAATGACTAAAACCAATGGATTTTTCTCAGTTCTCATTTTTCTTCAATTTCCTGTTTTTGACATTGTTGACAGGTTCCTCCTAGAAGCATACTCTCATCTCTGTTTTCATTTCATTGCTCTTTCTTAGTTCTCTTACTACCTGTCTGACCATTTTTTTCTGAGTTTCTTTCACTAGGTAATCAACCTTTCCTTGTCCACTAAGCATGAGTGTCCCCTATATCTGTTCTGGGTCCTTTTTCCTTCTTTTTCTAGACTCAGTAATCTCATTAGCTCCCATGAAATTCAGTTACTTCTCTTGAGAAGACCTCTTAATTTATATAGCCTGCCATCATGTCTCTCATGAGCTCCAGTCTTCTATCTTTAACTGTCTGCACATTTCCAATTTGATTGCGCCTCAGACATCTCAAACTCAGCACGTCCAGAAATGGAACCAATTGTCTTCCTTCCTTAACCTACCCCTCTCCCAAACTTTCCTATTACTGTTGAGTGCTCCAGCATCTTGGTAGTCACCCAGATTTGTTACCAACCTCACAGTCAGCCGTGAAGCTTCATTCTCTTTCAACCATTCCATCAGTTGTTAACTCCTGTTTGTATCTCCACAACATTTCTCACTTCTACCCTTTTTTCTTCAAGTCATTACCTTAGTTCCGGTCTTTCTCCCCTTTTTTCCTGGACTATTGTACTAGTCTTCTAATTAGTCTCTCTGCCTCCACTGTCTTGTTTCTACAATTCATATTCCTCACAACTGTTAAAATAATCTTAAGTCATAGATTTGACTATTACCACCCCCCATTCCTAATCCTGATCTTAAAAAAGTGTTCACTGGCTTCCTATTGCCTCTAGAATAAAATACAAAGTCCTCCAGTTGGCATTTAAAGTCCTTCACAAATGGTCATTAATCTCCTTTTCAAAACATTTCATTTTACTACCTTTCAGGCACTCCACATTTCAGGAAAACTTGCCCACTTACTGTTCCTTGAACTTGATGTTGAATTTCACATGTCCAGGACTTTGCACAGGCTGTCCTTCCATATTTGGAAATCATTCCTTCTTCATTTGAGCCTTTTTGCTTCTTTTAAGTTTCAGTTTGTGATTCACTTTCTCTGGACAGACATTCCTAACCTCCCTTGTTCTCTGTAGAATGTTGCGAATTGTATTTACTTATATGTACATATGTGGCATACCAAGGAGACTGTAAGCTTCTGAAGGAAAGAGTCTGTTTTCAATTTTCTATCTGTATCTCCAGAAAAGACCTTTGCACATGTATTCTGGGGCTTGTATCTCAAGCTACTCAGAGACTTTGTGTTGGTTCTATCTTCATTTGAAAGGGGGCAAGAATGTGGTTACATGGAGAAGAGAGATTTTGTGCCCTAAGCTTAGCATATCTCTGCCTTTTCCTCCTCCACTCATCTCCATAGCAGAAAAAAATTAGGTTTGAAAACTAGGGAACTTTGAATTCCAGGGCTGTTTGGTAGTTATTCGACAAATAACCACTGCCTGGTTTATCGTTTAGCCTTCAGAACTTAAAATTGAGAAGGATAAGGAATGCTCACCATAAGCAAGGCTGAGGTATTTGGTAGAGGGACTCAATATCCTGAACCAGGAAGACAAATTCAGAGAAACAGCTTAAGGTGAAACTGTTAGTTGGGCTGAAATAACCCAGGTCTTTGTCTAACTCAGCATCTAGGGCTGAGAATCACCTGCTTGGGAGAGAAAAGGCTTATTTGCACTATGTGGGAATAATATAGAAAGCAATACCCTAGCAGGAGTTCCTAACTTGGGATCCACAAACTTATTTAAAAATATTTTTGTATTTTAATATAATTGGCTTCCTTGGTAATCCTCAGTATTTTATTTCATGTTGCATTTTAAAATATCATTCTTAGAAGAAGTCCATAGGCTTTAAGCAGATTGTCAAAGGACTGGATGATAGAAGAAAAGCTTAGAGGAACAAGCCAGGAGAATCAAAGCAGAGGTATCCTGCTGGTGCCATGCCAAAGTTTTTGACTTCTTCTAAAAGGACTAGGAAAGACCTATAAACTTTAAATTAAAAGAAATCTTTTTTTCCTTCGAGGAAGAGATAGCCAAGGATTTCTGCTGAGTCAGAAATTGGAGGTGATAAGTAGCATCTATCTGAGCAGCATTAGAATGAAACTATGATACCATGAGTATTCCCTCCCCCCCCCAGCTAGATCTGGTGGGAGCAGCACAATAATGTGACCAGTCCTTCAGTCACCTCCATTATCCTTTTCTGTGTTTGTACTCTGGTCACACTCCTTCTTGCATGTGCCCCTATCCATTCATATTCCCTACTTGTGTCCCTTCCAAACAGTGATGTGTGAATTTGTAGGCTAGTGCACCCCAGGTTTATGCCAGAAATGTTTTATTACTATGTTTCTTAGTGTACTTTATCAGTAAATATATTTAATTTTAAATGATTATTTCCTCTGGCTATTAAAGTTAAACTATGGGACCCATGAGCTATGGTATTGGGAAATGTAGACCTTCTGAGTACCTTAAAACTAGGGAAGAGTTATTCTTTGGGGAAAAACCAAACCTGTGAGTTGGAAGGGGAGGTGGAAATCCCCAGAGGCACTCCATATAAAGCCTAAAGTTTGCATGCTGTATAGAAGGGCACTGCTTTGGGATTTAGAGGAGCTTGCTTCAAATTTCCTCTCTCTGAGCCTTAGTTTCCTCTTCTGCAAAATGAGGACGTTGAAATTCTCTGGATGATCACTAAAGCTTTTTCTCACGTCAAAATCTGATGATCCTCTGCTGTAAAACGACAAGTTTGGGGGAATCAGGACGGTGCAGTGAGTAAATTTCTGGATTTGCAGGCAGTATATCTGGATCAAAATCCCACTTACTACCAGTGTGACCTTGAGTGAGTCATTTAACTTATGTAGGTTTCGGTTTCTCCACCTGTAAAATAAAGACGTTGGATTAATTGGCCACTAACATCCCTAGTTCTATGATCCCATGAGAGAATCAAATAGGAAAATACACGTAAAGTTCCTTGCCAACTTCAAAATACTAAACGCAGAATGTTGCTGCTGCTATAATCTGCAAATCAGTGCACGTAAAATGGGACGCTCTATACAAAGGTAATGCCTCATTATTATCAGTTCTCAGACTGCTGCTTTACTGCCCCTTAGCCATTCCTTTTCTAATCTTTTCTACCCTCCGTCTTCTCCGCCCTCCTCCGGCCCCAACCCTCTCCCCTCCACCATCTGTTACAAGGTGTCCTGGGACTGGAGGTGGGGTGCCCCTGCTGCTCTATTCTATGTTGGAAGTGAAAGGTGGAGGTGGGGGGCGAAGCAAAGAGAGGGAGCACTTTGCGGAACAGGCTTCACTGCACTCTCCCTGAAGCGCTCACCCCTCTTCTCTTTTTTCCCTCACTTCTTTGCACCGTCTTTCCAAACGAACCGCATTTCTTAGCTTCCCAAGGTTTCACAATTGCCTCTTGGTAGCTTTCTTGACTCAGGTTCGCCTGTGCGAGAGTGCTTGAGAATCTAGTCCAATCAGGAAGGGATCTGTTTCGTGACGTCTTTGGTTGGTAGGCAGATTAGGCTCTCACAGGTTGGAGCCAGGAACTGGGTTTAGGAAATTGCACCCTGAGAAGCCAGATGAAGTTAACCGTGGGGTGTTCGGGGAGTGGGAGAAGAGACTCTGCCCTTGGGTGGCAGCAAATTAAGAAGACAGATGGGCGGGAGGGCATTCCTTCCCCCTAGTATTTTGTTTCATCTCCCCAAGTAGAACTGGACACTGCCAAAGTATCGGGGCTGCTGGGCGGAGAGGTTGGAAGGCGGGACGGAGCGAGGTGTCTCCGCACGCATCTCTCACTCCACCCCAAGGCACTGCCACACTTTGGCTATCCAGAGTGGCTCTCCAGTCGGTGCAGAGGATGATTCCCTCAATCCTCACCCCCACCTCTGCGACTCCCTAGCCCAGGACAATTAATCGGACCCAAGCAACATTCCTGCAGGTTCCAGCTTCTCTGATCTTGTCCAAGGCCCAGCCCGTCTTTTTCAGATGTCCTTCGATAGAAAGTTGCTCTCTCTGGACTCCCTGTCCTTACATGTGGTCCCCACCTTCCTCGTCTCGCCTCCCTCTGTCAGCCCATCTTTCTATCCCTGCTCTCTCTGTGTTCTGAGGCCTCCGTGACAAAACACTACGACACTCTGATAGTACCCACACTGGTTCCCCCAGGCCTTAGGTGTGTGTGTGGGGGGTGGGTGGGCGAGATGGGTGGATGGGGAAGGAAGGCTCTAGCTCTGGCTCCCGCCCTCTCTGTACCAGGCTTTCACTTTCACTTCCCGTGGGTTCCGAGGCTTAGTCCGTGAGCGGAGTGGGGAGAGGGAAGATCATGGCGCTACTCGAAGTATGCGGGGCTCCCTGGGGGCGACAGGTTTCTTGTGGCACGAAGAGTGGACGCCGCCAAGATCCCGGACACTACAGCTTCTCCCTGCGGACCCCGGAACTGGCCGTCCCACGAGGGCTGCAGGTTAGGGCTGGATTGGAATGGGAGTAAAGAGTTAAAAGCTGGCATGAGTAGAGGGGCGGAAGGTTAGGAAGGCATCCTTTCTGTCAGAAAACATCAAAAGATGTTTTGTTAGCGGCCGTGTGGGAAATAGATTGCTGAGCAGTGAGATTGAGTCAAAGGTGGGAGTGGAGAGAACGGGTTCTTTCTGAGTTCAGAGTGAGTTCTAGTCAAATCTCTCCTCTCTCTATTTCCGCCAGCCTGCCAGGGGGGCAAATGTTCTGGTGGAAGTTGAAGGACCTGTCTTATTCCTTGTCTCCTTAGGCCAATTCCCAACCTGTTACTTACATCGTGGTTTTTTTTTCCTTTTGAATCCTTCCTCCCTTCTCATCACTCAGCCTTCTAAGTTCTTGTGCCCTGATGGGTGACTTTCAGTGCTCCCTTTTTTTCTCACATTGTGCAAATCCCTTTGCCTGGTCCATTCCTCCTGAAGCTCTTACTGGCCCTCTCTCTTCTTCCACCCCGCAGCCTCCTGAGTTCCTTCGTTCCCTGGAGGCAGATGCTGCCAATCAAGTCCGAATTGAGATGGCCCATGGTACCACCACATTAGCCTTCAAGTTCCAGCATGGTGTGGTTGTGGCAGTAGATTCTCGGGCCTCAGCTGGGAATTATATTGGTGAGTTTGACTGTTGGGGGCTGGAGTCTGGACATTTTCCATAAGGGAGGAACTTTGAACCTACATCTCTGATTAGGACTGGGGAAGGAAGATTTGGGACTGGAAAAGGACGTGGGTCAGGCTCTTTGCCTTCTACTTAAACCATTGCTTCATTGCTCACTCAGACACTCTGCACGTGAACAAAGTAATTGAGATTAATCCTTACCTTCTGGGCACCATGTCAGGCTGTGCAGCTGACTGTCAATACTGGGAGCGTCTCCTGGCCAAAGAGTGTCGGTAAGGGAGTCTTCAAACATCACCCTAAACTTCTCAATTCTTTCCTTTCCACTCCTGCCAAGATGGAATTCCTCACCTCTTCTTAACTGGTCCTCATCCTGTACTTATCTCACCCACAAATCTCTGCCTCACAAAACTTATCTTTCCATGGGACATGACTTTTCAAATCTCACAGCCTGCCCCACAAATGAGTAAAACTCTGTAAAAGAGAAATCCAAACTATACGGACCTTTTAAAAAGTATAACGTGTATTGGATATAATCTTTAATCCTTTCTGAAAATGGACAGAGGAGCTTTTAAAAAAGTTTAAATGGTTTGGGAGTTTCAGGGCCCTTTTTGAGGGTACTCCTCATGCCCAGCTCTCTGGGGTCTTGAAGCCTTAGGTACTTCAAAATCTAACCTCCAAATTTTCCCTAATGTTCAGGCTCCCCAGTAGATCTTCATCTACTGTCTGTCTCCTCACACAGTTTGAACTTTGTCTGCTGAAGTAGACCACTTGGATCTGTTTTTCCTCCCTCTCCCCATCTCCTTCTAGCCCTAAATGTTTAGCATGATGCCTGGGCCATGGTAGGCATTTAATAAATGCTTATTTATTTGATTAAAATCCCCTCCACCAACCTCTTCCTCATCAGGTTGTACCGCCTTAGGAATGGTGAACGCATCACTGTATCTGCTGCTTCCAAGTTGCTGTCCAACATGATGTGCCAGTACCGAGGCATGGGGCTGTCCATGGGCAGTATGATCTGTGGTTGGGACAAGAAGGTATGTTGTTTTCACTCCACTGCAAATGTGGACTGCCTGAGTTTCATTGTCCCAGTGACTCCACTTCATCAGACATGCTAGATGTTACATGATAGGTGTATGACTGAAGGAAACTCTCCTTCTCTCCTCCCCCATAACAGCTGCTGTTTGAGTAGCACTTAAAGATTCAGAAGACCCTTTCCTCACAAAAATCTATTATGAGCACTATTGTCCCATGTTTCAGATGAGGAAACCGAGGCTCAGAGAGGTTCAGTGATTGCTCCCCAGACATGGCTAGTAAGTGGCATCTAGAATTCAAATCCAGGTTTTCTGATACCAGGTCCATAACCTTTCTCCTATGCCACCTGATTCCACAACTTCTTCCAAGGTCTCATGCTTCTGTTCAAAGTTCTACAAGAATCTCCCAGGTTCTATGATCATTGCCTTGGTTTTAGACTCATTTTATGGCTTCTCTTGAATTCTTTGTTGCCTCCCCCTAAGTCTCTCTTCCTCTTTTCCTTCAGGGCCCTGGACTGTATTATGTGAATGACAATGGGACAAGACTCTCAGGGACTATGTTTTCCACAGGCAGTGGAAATAGTTATGCCTATGGAGTTCTGGATAGTGGCTACCGGCCTGACCTCAGTCCTCAGGAAGCTTATGACCTTGGCCGGCGGGCCATTGTCCATGCCACCCACCGGGATAGCTACTCTGGGGGTTTCGTCAATAGTAAGAGACTAACTCCAACTCCATTTCCCAGTGCCCAGTAGGTGGGGGGAGGGGGGGAGATAAGAGATATTCAGGGTACTGGATATCCTGATTAGAATCTTGAATTAAAAAGTGGACCTTAATTTTCACAATTTAAGGCTACTCAGATAAGGGGCATGGGAATTCTTCCAAAGGGGCTTAGATCAGTGATAAAGAACTCTCCATTTCTCTTCCATTTTCCCACAGTGTACCACATGAAAGAGGATGGCTGGGTGAAGGTGGAGAGTTCAGATGTCAGTAACCTATTCCATGAGTACTTGAAGACCCAGGGGTGACTTTGGAGACTGCAAGATTAACTCCACTGGGAAGACTCAGGAAGCTGATCCAGCCAAGGCCCCAGAAGTTGGATAACTGGATTCCCCAGGAGAAGAAAGAGCAGTAGCCTGGGCCCAACTGAGATAAAACAGACTTGAGCCACAATTCAATATTCCATTGATTTTCTAACTTAGTAGCATTTTCTGTACTCAGTCTTATGAAATAAAATAAGTGCTCAAAAAAGGATTCTGTTATGGCTGAATGGAGCTATGGCTATTGGGAGGGTTGTGGGATTGGGAAAGAATTCGGGCAGAAATGAGGAGACATTAGGATTCCCCTTAGGTATACACTCTGGAATTTTGACTCTGACCCTCAATCTTCTCAGACATATGGTCTTGTTCTTTCTCAATGTCTTCTATCTTCCTTCTTAACTCCAGGCCTACAAGGGATTGGACTTCATCTGTTTAGGGCAGCACTGATCTTTTTCAGTTAAAAACCCCATTTTTGAAGTCTTCTTCAGAGTCCTTCTGTCCAAGGAGTCCTCTGTGAGGCCTCTCAGAGTATTCCCAATAGAGGAGAGAAAAAGACAACAGGAAGTTGCTGAGGTATGAGAGAAAAGAAAGGAACCAGCTTAGGCAAAAGGGGATGAGAAAGAGGGCCATTTTGAACTAAGTGCTAGGGTTATAGCAGGCAGCAAAGAAAGTCAAAGATTTGAAAGCAGCAACAGTATGGGATTTTCTCCAGGAACAGAGGGTTAGGGAAGGGAAAAAATTCTCCAAGGTGCAGAATATAGGGGAACCAGTGTATTGGGATTTAGAGGACTTCAGAAAGTGAAGCTACAACTTGACCTTGGAGATTTTCCCTGGGTCCCATCAAAGTCAGACATCTAAGAGACCCTAAAAGGGTCTATCCCAGTAATAAAAATAGGTTGGAATTGTTAAAGGTTGTGGTAGGGAGCACTGGTTCTGGAGTCAGAATATCCAGGATTCTCACCCTTACCACTGCCTAGTTGGGTGAGGTCACCTACCCTACCTGAGTCTTCTCATCTCTATAAGGGGAGGCTTGGACTAAGTGTTCCTTAAGGTCTCTTTCTTTCACTTTTAAGACTGATACCAACTTTGCTTAATATGTTAATCACTGTCAAACTTTACTGTCTGTGAAATGGTGCACTTGTAATTTACCTTTTTATATGTTGTCTGCACTACAGGATTTGTCTCCCTACTCCTGCAGAGCCCCAGCATTTTTTTGCACCCTAAATGGTTGCCTAAGCATGGTTGTGATCATGAAGAACTGTGGAGAATGGTTACAACAATACAAAAGAAATAAGGGGTGAGATGGTAAGGTCCAGGTAGGTTCCGCCCTACCCTTCTCCCTCAAAATCCACAAAACTCCGGTGGAGGAAGTGAAAGTCAGTGGAAATCTCAGTTTGGATGTATCTTTTTCTGTTGGTCACAAAGGGACCATCCTTGATTTGTACTCAGACAAATATTGGGGTAGCTGAGATTGGGGAGAGAGGTGAGTGGCCTAAGTTCAGGGCTCAGGTCAGTGATTTCCAATCATGGTTTACAAAATTCTCCAAATAACAACTCCTTTTAATTCACTTTGAGTTGTAAAACCCATTGTATTGTGATCCACATTGCCTTCCTTGGAGGGCTGAGGGGAAAAAGTATAGCGTCAGACCAAGTTTGACCGATCATCATGGTTACAAAATTTAGGAAACCTTGGCTTAAGTCTTTATCCCACTTGCTACCTCGTCTCGGGCACCAGCACATGATAGTTGAGGAAAAAACTCCGGCGGATTTATCAGTGGCCTGCACTATTGGCGGGGCTGGGATCGGAGGCCTCGGAAGGAGGGAGTTAGGCTGGCAAGGGCGAAAGTGAAAGTGGCGAAGTCCCAGGCTAGAAGGAAAAGGGAAATAACACAGTGGGAGCCCGGGCTAGAGCTGGAACTGGAACCTCACAGAGCAGCAAATGCTCAGTGCCTTGATTGCTAAGCCAGCGCCTCCTCCCCAACCCGCCTCCCTGGTCCCATACCCCAGGGGATTCGTTTCAGTTGGGGAATTTTTGAGAGAAACCTGTCCCCATTTTCCCTTATCTACCTCTGTTTCTCTCAGGAACTCTCCCTTCATCTTCAACAAATATTAGAGAATGATCTTTGCCATCCTGGTTTTTCCTATGAGATTGAGGAAGTGAACACTCCACAGAAGGAAACACATACAAATAAACTAACCAACTCCAACTCTCAAGGCTGAGGCTTAATGGAAAGGCACTGTAGGGGACTGGAAAAGACTCTCACTGAATGTGGAGCCAGAGGGATCCACGCTCTGCCACTGGCCAGGTCACCACTCTCCATGTAATTCCCCTTCATGAGATAATTTCTTCATCTCTAAAATGATAGGCTTGGGGAGCAGAACATACATTTTAAACTGTAAGGGATCTTAAAGACCTCATGAGGAACAGAGAACCAGAGAGGTTAAGTAACTTGACCAAGGTCACATAAGGAGTAAGTAGCAGAGTCACGACTTAAAACCAGTTCCTTTGGATTCTGAATCCAGTTCTGTGACAGATGATTTCTAAGGCATCTTCATGCTCTAAATCCTAGGTCTGGTTGAAAATCCAGTGAATGTCTTGGAGAACAGATAACAAAGAGCATCACTTCCCTCAGAGCAGAGAGTTGAGAGATTGCTAGGATAAAGAATCCTATACATGCCACGTACTGTAGCTCAATCAGAGATTTTTGTCTGATTGCTCTCATTTGTTATAATTTATGGTTCAATCTAGTGAGGGGAAGGGGAAGGAAATATCTGAAGGCAAAAAAAATGATGAAAAATAAAAATCCTATGACTGAGACCTTGCTGAAGAGGATGAAGTCATAGAAAGGGCAGATCTGGTGGGTGGTACTGTTGTCTAGATGACACTGATGGTGGGGTGAATGTGGGACTTAGAAGTTCTGTCCCCTATTATTCCTTCAGGTTTCTTTCACAGAGCCTACTACACAATTCCCTATCCCAAATCTCTGGGTTCTCCTATTTCTAACCCACAAGATATTGTTCTGTTTGTTGCAGACTTCTGGGAGTCTGACTCCCTCCAGAGCTCCTTGAGTTCTGGTTGGAAGGGGCTTTACAAATGGAAGGACTGTGGGGAGTGGGGTGCTAAGCCTATTAAAGGAGTTTGGGAAGATGGCAGAACTACTCCTTCTCTTGTGTTTGGTCCCACCCCTGTAGGTGTCAGAGGTCCTTGGTTTCTCACTCTGGGGTCCTTCACTCTGGACTGCTGGTCTGGCAGCTCTGTGAGTCTAACTACTGAGATATGAGGATACAGAGCCAGATTGGGTTGGATGGAACATGCTAAGCCTTCTGCCTCAGCCCAGGAGAACAAAACTATGATGTTGAGGCTGTTGATGATTTTTTAGGTTGACTCTCCCTTCTTCACTGCTGCCTTCTTCTTGTTGACTGCAGTCATAGGTAAGTGAGGGAAAGCTGAATACAGTTGGGGATGTGTGTGTCAAAAAGTGCTCTTAGGTCACCTAGGTGGTGCAGTGGATAGAGCACCAGCCCTGGGTTCAGGAAGATCTGAGTTCAAATCTGGTCTCAGACACATAATACTTAACTGTGTGACCCTGGACAAGTCACTTAATCCCATTGCCTATCCAAAAAAGAAAAAAAAAAGTGCTCTTGATACAGCTTCCTCATCCCACTCTCAAATCTCACCTATCATGTTCTACCTCTCCCCAGGTAAGACATTCATCTCATACTACACTGATTGTGTGGCTGGAATTCTGAGGTAAGACTTTGACTCTGATGTCTTTTTGTCAGTGCCTTTGTGTGCCTCTTTTCTATTGAGAAGTCAGTGATTAGGAAATGGAAGAGAAATAGGAATGCATGTTCTAATTTTGAAAATGCATTTTAAGCTCTTACTATGTGCCAGGAATTGTGCTAAGCATTTTACAAGTATCTCATTTGATCCTCACAACAATCCTGTGAGGTAGGTTAACCCAATTATCCCTATTATATAACTCTATTATCTCTATTTTATAAATGGGAAAACTGAGGTAAACAGAGATTAAATGACTTGCCCAGTCAAACAACTAGTAAGTATCTGAGGTCAGCTTTGAATTCAAGTTTTCCTGGCTCCAAGCCCAGCTCTCTATCCACTATGCCACCTAGTTGGGGGACAACCACTTCTACATCCTTAAGGATTTTGCCACTTGGTACCTGCATGACCTTAAATAAGTCACCTTACTTCTTTGGGCCTCATTTTTTTCATCTGTAAAATGACAGGAGGTTGGACTAAATGTCCTCTAAGGTCTGTTTCAACCACACAGTTCTCTGATTCTATGAACTTTAGGGTTTTTTCTCAGTTCCCAAACCTTTCCTATTGGTTAGTTGCCGCTTATATACAGAGTCCTGCTCTCTCAAAGGTTAGGAAACACACCTCTCCCATAAGACAAAGCGCTAGGTCTAATCTTATGGGAGTGAAACAATCTCCACTTTTAGAAAATTCTAAGCCTGATGGGGGACAGAAAGACTGTGTTCTAGGAGTCCTGAATATGATGAGACAAAGTCCACATATTTGAAAGGCTTAAGAAACATGAGCATTCACTGTCGTTCTCCCCCAATGGAATTTAAGGAGCACCCCCTCTGTGCACAGCACACAGAAGTGTAAGTGAATCTAATGCCAAAGGGGTCAATAAGTGTGGAGTGCTATGTCTTTCTTCTGGAGGTAAGTCATATTCCACACTCCCAGGTACCCTTAATGTCTCAACCCTAAAGTGGTTCTATTTCTATCTCCACTCTTGGCTGCTTTACATCTATAAGCTTATCTCCAGAGTAGCTTTCTAATCAGATGGACACTATCCTCCACTATCCCTCCTGAAGGACTTTGCTTCTAGGATTATTGCCTTCTTCTCTATGTCTTCTATGTCTTCCTCTTTACTGACTCCACCTTCTCCATTTTCAAAGATGCTTATGTCTCCTCTATCTCAAAACACAAACAAAATAACCCGTGTAACACTGATTTCACACATTTAGAGGCTGTGTGTGTGACCCACATAGGTTATGTATATCTCCACATGGATTTGTCTAAATGTGACTCAGGGAGAATGATGAGAATATGTATAAATAAATGTATATGTATATCTATACATACATGCATATCTGTATATGATGTATGTATGAGTGTATGTATATCTATAGATCTGTGTGTGTGTGTGTGTGTGTGTGTGTGTGTGTATTCTGGAATCTTGCCCATCCATCCCCAAAGAACATGATTCTTGCCTAGAGGGGAAAAGTAGAAGGGGCCACTGAAGCTGCCTTCTCTGCTCTCCTTAGACAAAGGGTACCACACTAAAATTATCTGTCCCTTGAATATTGTTAGTCTAGAGGAAATTATTTTTTCTTGGATTCATGCTATTTTATTAGTCATTGGTCCTTAAAGAGAAAGGGGTGTGCTAAGCTTTTATCAAACCTTTCCCACCAAATTCTAGAGTGAATAGTGAGTAGACTCATTTAATGGAGCAGATAGAAAATAGAAACCAAAGAAGTTATGTGGGTTAGAATATATCAGAAAATACACAGAGTGAATAAACTGCTCCCCTCAGGTTTTAAATACTGTAGTTCAACCAGGAAAGGGTCCCCAGTCTCACCCAAGGTAAAAGTCCTTGGAGTCTCTAGGGAGCAAACTTGGAAATCAAAGCCATGTTAAGGTATTGGCTTTCCCCTACATGTCTGCCTTCCAAAGTATCTCTCTCTCTGTCTCTCTCTCTAGTTAGAATCATGTGTGTTCTCTATTGAAACAGGAAGAATATTTTTCCTTTCCAAATTCTTGCATCAACTATGCCCCTCCTACAGATTGGCAGTGTTGAGGCTTCAATCTTTCATCCATCTTGAGAATTGGGTTACATGTGTGGGTGATCCTGACTATCCCATCTAATTCCTGCCTTTTGACTGCTAATCTTCTAGAATGAGCAAACCACTTCTACTATTTCCATTTTTTCATCTTCTTTAACTCTCTATTATATGTTTTTTGTCCCTACCTCTATCCTGAAACAGCATTCCCAGAGTTCCTCAGCAACCTCTCCATTGCCAAATCCAATGGCCTTCTTTTAGTCTCCATTCTCCTTCAGTATTTCATAGCGTTTGACATTTTGATCATTTTCTTCTGACCTTACTTTCTCTTCTCAGCTTCTGTGATATTGTACAATTTTGGTTCTCTTCTTACCTACTTAACATCCTTGTCTTTTGTTCTGATGTGCTCTCCAAATTCTTAGTTGGGGACATTCCTCAGAGTTCCAACTTTTTCCAATCTACTGTGCCTGAAGCTGCTTCGTGCTGATGACTCCACATTCACCAAGTTCAGGTCCTCATCACATCTCATCTTGACTGCTGTAATAGATTCCCAGTCAGTCTCTCTGCCTCAAGCTTTTCTTCTCAATCCATCCTTCACCCAGCTGCCAAACTGGTATTCTTCAAGTCCAGGTCTGACCATGTTACTCTCTTCTTCAAAAGCTCCCTCTTGCCTCTAGAGTAAACTACAAACTCCTCTGTCTGGCATTGAAAGCCCTTTATAATTTGGAGCTACTGTACCTTTCCAACTTGTTATACATCACTCACCTTCAAATATTCTAATTCCAGCCAAAGTGGCCTAATCCAGAGGTGGGGAAACTGTGGCCTTCTAGGTCCTTGGGTGTGACCTTTTGACTGAGTCCAAGTTTTACAGAACAAATCCTTTTTTTAAAGAGATTTGTTCTGTGAAGTTTGAATTCAGTCAAAGGGCTGAGCTTGAGGACCTAGAAATAGGTTTCACCAGACTGCCAAGAGGGTCCATGAACCAAGAACTCTTGTCCTAGCTCAGTTTCAAACTTTTATATCAATAGTATGCAGGCAAGCAGCATTTTTGTGGCTACATGGTTTATTAAAAACAATAACACTTCAAGGAAGCCATGTGCTTGTCTGTCATGGAACCTCGGCCCAGTCCTCTGCCTTGTGAACCTCCTCCCACTGACTATCTGACAATGTACCATTGGTATCCAGAGGACCTGGATTCAGATCTTGGATCTGCTACTTATCTGTTTGACTTCCAACAAGTCACCTTAGCACTCTGGGACTCAGTTTCAACCACCATAAAATGAGGGTATTGGACTAATCAGGGAGATTGCATTCATATAGAAATGAGGGGGCACTAATCCATACATAAGTATCCCCCTGGACTGCATATTGGCTTAGTTTTAAAATGTAATATTATTTATGTTTTATTGTATTTTTATTGTGTTAAGTATTTTCCAATTACATTTTAATCTTTTTTGGGGGAGGTTTCACCCCTTTGGACTAGATGATATTTGAAGCCTCTTTCACCTTCAATTTATGTATCTTGTGCTTTCAGGTGTCCAAAAAAAAGTAACTCTCATATGGACTAAAAATTAAAAAGAAGGCTGAATTCACTTATGAAGCAGAATCATGAAGAGTCTTCCATGGGCCCAAGTTCCTATCAGACATTCAAACCTCATCAATGTCTGTCACTGGGTCCTATTTCTTGTTAGGCACAGGGCCATAGGATTCTGATTCTCTCAGTAGAGACACCTCAGAAAATCAGCTTCTCTTTGGGAAGACTTGAAATCCCAGAATCTCAGAGTTGGAAAGGGCATCAGAGGTCCCTTACTCCAACCCAAGAGCTCTTTCTGCAACATATCTGACAATCCAATCATTTACTTGAAGACTTTCAGAACTCATTTCTCCAGATGCAGCCTATTCCATAATCTGTTATCAAGTCCTATTGATTTTCCCTTCATAACATCTTGCATGTATGCCCCCTTCTCTCCTCTGAGGCTGCCACCATCCTGTTGTAGGCCTTTACCTCTTCATGCTGGATTATTGCAATAGCCTGCAGGGGGCAGTCGGTCTGCCTCAAGTCTCTCCCCACTTTAGTCCATTCCACTCTCAGCTGTCAAACTGAACTTGGTGCAGGTGTGACCTGTTTCTCTCCACCCCTCTCCCCATGCCCTATTCAATAAATTCCAGTCATTTTCTGTTACCTCTAAGATCAAGTATATAATCTTCAGTTTGGTGTTCAAAGCTCTTCATAACTGGCCCCCTTCATCCTTTCCAGTCTTTTTCCATCTTAGTCACCCTGACAAGTTCTGTGAGCCAGAGACATTGGCCTCTGAGGTGTCCCTTGGCTAAGATATTCCACCTCCCCACTTGAAGCATTTTCACTGGCTGTCTGCCATTCCTGCAATGCTCTCCCTTCTTATCTCTGCCTTCTCCCTTTCCTGACTTCTGGGTCCCAGTTAAAATCTTACCTTTGACTTTGACTAAAGTTAGAGAATGGGCAAGCACCTTCTAGATTTGAGATAGAAGCAGGCAAATCATAATGGAGAGATTTCTTATCATTTTCTAAACTAGTACCAATATTCCAGTGATAAGAGAGATTTCTTGAAGGAAAGGGGAGAGACAATTTAATCTAACCTTCTTACTTTTATGGGTAAGGAACCTGAGGCCCATGTAAAACAGCTACTTAGTGAGTTAGTGGAATTTTTTCTTCCTTGATACTTGTCTCTTTCAATATATCTGCCATAAGCCTGCCTCCCTCTGGTTCTCTTAATATCTTGCTAATGCCCACCCATTTGTTGTTTCTCATTCTTACTTCATGATTGGTCATGACTTTTCTGGTCTATATATACATAATAATGGATTTTATGCTACTCCTGGCATTTATCTCCTGGGCAGATTGTTGGTAACCCATGGAGGGCTACTTATGCCTAAGTTATGCCTTTTCCTATTGTCTTGTTTTAATAGTAATTTTGGTCCCCCCTCAACTAGATCATGGTATTCTATGATTCACAAGCATGCAATGTCATTTAAAAAAATAGACATTAATGAGATGAGTAGTTTGTAATTACTGAAAGCACCACGCGATTTCTCAAATGAAATACAGTCTATTCTTCTCCTCCTATTCAATTCTGGATCCAGCTCATTGTCCATTTGGTATTCCTATCAAAGAGACTAACAGACAACCTGAATGAACAGACCACCCCTTGAGGTACATGTTATTGAGAGTTAAGGCAATATGGAAGTTTTCTCCACTTTGCTTTGGTATTGCCATAGATTTCCCTTCAGAGATTTTGTAGTGATGGATGCAATTTGTGTGATGTCATATGGGAATGGGAGGAATTGGAAAATCCCATCATGCAGAGAGAATTATCCTTTTGTTTGGATTCAGGGCATAACATCCTCCATGCCACTGGCAGATTGGTGCAGTGGAACATAAATAACTTTTGAAACTCAATGTTCTGGGTTCTGATCCTGGCATTCTTATTTGCTATGACTTTACTTACTGAGAGTGAGTTTCCTTTCCTATAAAATAAGAGGATTGATATAAATGAAGTCTAAAACCTCACTAATGTCTAAGCCATAGGACTATAGTTGAAGAAGTATTTCTGTTTTATTTTCACTTCATGGCAGTGCTCTGTAGTTCACGTAAGATTTCTGTATTGTAGTTATCAAAGAATCTTCTATCTTTTTAACATATGGTGGAAGATGACTTGCTTGATGATAGTCTTCAAGGGTCTACCCATTGACTACCATTTGACTCTACCGAGTCAAATGCTTAAAACAATTATTAGCAGTAGGCATTGTGGGATCTCATATGTTCTATACTTGTCTGTCTGAGGATTTAGAGTCAGGTCTTCCTGACTCCAAGCCCAGTGCTTTATCCACTAAGCCATCCAATTGCCCTATGAAAGAGGGAGGAGACTAGGGCTAGATAAATTGATATGAGATAATTGAACCAATGAAAGCTGATGAGATCACCAAGTAAAAGAATGCTTAGAGAAAAGAGAAATGAGTCCAGGACATAGCTTTGGGAGACTCCAACAATCAATGGATGCATGAAGAACCAGTAAAAAGTGATCAAGACAGGAAAACCAGGAAAAAACAGTGTCATGAAAACCTGGAGAATAGATGAAATGCAGGAGAAGAAGGTGGTCAATGCTGTGAAATCATGTAGCCTAGTGAAGAAGAATGAGAATTGATAAGAAGACATGAGATTTAGTGATGAAAGACATCATTGGTATCTTTGGAGAAAAGTTTCAGTTGAATATTGGAAGTCAGATTAGAGAGGGTTTGGAAGAGAGTGAGAAGAGAGGAAATAAGTACATAAATTGCATATGATTTTTTCAAGGAGGTTAGCTGAAAAAAAAGAAACATAATCACACAATCTTCTGATTCCTTTCCCAGGTTCCTTCATTCTTACAAGCAAGCAAACAAACCTTCAATTGATCCCCTCAAGTTAAGCTCAGCAATGGAAAGAATACTGACTTTAGAGTCCTAGCATCTAGCTTTAAATCCTACTTTGACCTTTACTCCCTGTGTGACATTGGGCAAGTCCCTAAAGAAAGAAAAATTCTGTGAAGAAGGCAAAGCTGATGAGAACAGGACCTAAAGAGAGGTTGGAATTGCCCATCTTCTCTCTACATCCCAGAAGCTGGAAGAGCTGAGATCCCTCTTCTCTCCCACTCTCACCAACTCTGCCTGCCTCTGACACAAGCATGAAACATTGAGAAATCAATTTCCACCAATCAGGAGAGAGTACCATGTAATGGCCCTTTGAGCCAAGGCTTACACAGCTAAACTAGAAAAATTACGATCTACTCATATCCTACTCAATTCTCAACCTCTTTTAGTATGACTTTTGTCTATCATACAACTGAAAGTTCTCTCTTCAAGGTATCCAAAAATGACTTAGTTGCTAAAGACAATGGACTTTTCTCAACCTTCATCCTTCCTGGTTTCTCTACTACTTTTGTCATTGTTGACTTTCTCCCATTCTTGGGGAATTTTTTCTCTGTTTCCCTTTCACTGTTTTCCCTTAGTTTTCCTAACATGTTGATCACTTCTCTCATTCTGTTTTGCTGGGTCGTATTCATGACGTACACTCTTAGTTGGAAGTCTCCTAAATTTTTGTTCTGGGCCTACTTTCCTCTTTACCCACTTTCCCATTTTACCCACTCTCTACCACCACCACCATCACTACTTAGTAGTAGTAGTGACTCCTACTCCTAGTGCAACTGTTACTGTTACTACTAGTGTTGTTGCTGCCACTCCATCTCTCAGCTCTGGACATTTTCTCTGGTTAGCCTCCATACTCTCCCTTGTCAGCTTCACCTATACTTACTTCCCTGATTTACTTTAAGCCCTAACTAAAATTCTATCAATTATTGGAAGTCTTCCCCAGCCCCTCTTAATTCTAGTGCCCTCCCTCTGTTATTTATTTGCTATTTATTTTCTTTGTATACACGTTTGTTCATTACCTCCCCCATTAGAATGAGGGCAGCGACTGTCTTTTGCCTCAATTTGTATCCTCACGGATTAGCATAGTGGCTGGCACCTTATAGGTGCTGATTAAATGTGTATTGATTGATTACTGTTGCTGTTACTACTGTTACTGCTACTACTATTATTGCTGTTACTACTACCCCTAGCCAGCATTTTTTTTTAGTGCTTCAAGGTTTTCAAATCACTTTATGTTATCTCATTTGACCTTCATAATAAACCTGTGAGATATGTATTTGTCCTCATTTTACACATATGGAAACAAATTGAGAAAGGTCAAGGAACTTGATCCGGAACATAGTGAGTGAATGCCTAAGGCAGGATTAGAATTTCTTTCTGACTCCCAAATTTAGCACTCAATTCACTATACTATTTAGCTGTTTAGGTGATCTCATCAGATTATTGAGTTTGACTTCTAAACTGTATGCAGATGACTTCTCAAATCTGCAGATATGGCCATCCTCTCTCTTCTGAGCTCTAGTCTCGATTTAGGAACTGCCTTTTGGACAACCTCAGCTGGATGTCCAAACATCTCAAACTTAACATGTCCAAAATAGAACTCATCCTCCCCACTAAACCCATCTAACTTTCCCAAATTCTGTTGAGGACACCACAATTCCTGACTTATCCAAATTCACAGTCATCTTTCCTTCTCCTCTCTCCCTTACTACTCCTCTATAACCAGTCAGTTGCCAAGTTTTTCTAAGTCTACCTCCATAGCATCTCTACTGTCCATTTTCTTCTCTCCACTCAGAGGATCACTATGTAATTGAAGCTGTCACCATCTCTTGCCTGAACTAATGTGATAATCTCCCATTTTGTTCTCTCTGCTTCTGTAACCCATCCTTGACACAGCTGCTAAAATATGCTTCCTAAAGCAGAAGACTGAATCCTGTCATTTTCCTGATCAACAATCTTCAATGGCTCCCTATTTATTCTACTATAAAATGCAAAGTCTTCTATTTGACATTTAAAGCACTAACCTTTTCCAGACATTTTATTTTCCTATATACTTCATTCATGGGGTCAGTTAGGTGGTGAAGTGGATAGAGTTCTGGGCCTAGAGTGAGTAGGACCTGAGTCCAAACCCAGCCTCAGACACTTACTAGCTGTGTGATTCTGGGCAAGTCATTTAACCTCTGTTTGCCCCAGTTTCCTCAGTTATAACTTTGGGACCCCGCAGAAGGAAATAGCAAACCACTCTAGTATGTTTTCCAAGAAAATCCCATAAAATGGGATCATGAAGAGTCAGGCATGAATAAAAGACTTAACAGCAATTCACTTGACTTTTTAGCCAGACTGACCTACTTATTGTTTCCTGACCTTGCCATTCATTCTCCCACCTCCATTCCTTTGTATAAACTGTCATCCTTGTTTGAAATGCTCTTCCTCCCCTCTCGGAACCTTTTGGCTTCTTTAAACTTTCAACTTGGGTGTCTTCTCTGGGAACCACTCCCTGCTTGCCCTACTTGTTAACTATTCTCACCCTCCTCAAATCATCTTGTGCTAGCTTGTTTAGAAGTTGCATCCCCTGCTTAAATGTAAACTTCTTGCAGGCAGGAATCATTTTTTCATATTTGTCATGGTATCCCCAGCCCACAGCCTTGCCCACAGTAGGGCTTCAAAAGTGCATGTTCAATGGAATTGTAGTGGAAAGATCCCTGGACTAGGATTCAGGGCACTTTTGTCCTTCTTGGGCCTTAACTTCTTCCTCTGTAAAATGAGTAAGTTGGGCTACATGTTGTCTAGGCCCTTTAAGCTGTAAATCCCATGAGCCTCCTCTGTAAAAAGAGGGTGCACATTCCAGGGGTCTTGTGAGGACAGAATAAGATAGTGCACATACCAACCTGAAGTAAAAGTAAGAGACAACTGCAGCAGCTTCTGCTGCCACTACTACCACCATCACCATTAGTAGATGAGAATGCATGTATATGAGAGCTTTGGAAACTGGCAAGGTGTGGGCATACATAGGCATAGTTTATATTGTTGTTACCTTTCCCCTGTAGGGCTTATAACCAACCTGGCAGGCCCCTTTCCCATTCCCTCTTCCCTTCCCCCTCGTCACTCCTTCCCAGGAGAGATGTACCCAGTACCAGCCAGGGCACCTGTGGGAGCAGAGACTTTCCAATATAGAAAATGACTGAGGAGCCAGGGGAGTTGAGCAAGAGCAGCCAGTTCTCTGAGGAAAAGCTTGACTGAAGTGCTCCTTCTTTTTTCCTCCTCTCATTTCCAAAGGGCAGTTTCTTTCCTTCCTCAGGAACTTCTGACTGCCATTTGTGCCACTGACTGGACCAAGGTTCCCAGGTGAGCTCCAGAGAATTTCTGCCAATCAACAAGGGCTTTCCTTCGAGACCTCTTAAGTGCTTGACAGACTAGGCTGGCATAGGTGGAAGCCCAAGGCAGCCTTCATGGCCTCAGCCTGTGTTTTCTATACTTATGCAGCAATCTCTCCCTCTCTCCCTGTTGCAGTCTGAGAGGTTGAGACTCCTCAAAGACTGGAGTACACGACGGGGTCGTCTGGAATGAATTCACAGACTCAAACATTCTTTAAGTCAAGTTGGCAAGAAGGTTATTGTTATGCTTTTCAGCGGCCAAGGATTCTGAAGGAACCTTCGACCTTAGAGGGGTACTGTTAAAGTTTACATATGATAAAATACAATAAAACATGTGCCAAATATGCCAACTAGGTGATTCGGGGTGAAATCAGGGAGTGGTTAAGGAATGGTCAATTCTTAAAGGAACATGCACTTTTTGTATCTACTGTGTAGGCGTTTTACCCAGAGTTCCCTAGGAAAAGCCCATGGGGGAGGGGGGGCCGGCGGCGAGGTGTGGTTTCAGGCCTGCTACATCACTGAGTTAACTAGAGGTCAGGGTTAACTGAGAGTTGTCCAGTCTGCCACCAGTCAATGTCTTGTTTGATAAGATAGATGTAGGGAGTATACCTATGTCTTAGGTCTAGAATAGAGATAATGAGGAGTCCAGGATGTAGATAATGAGGTAGGGTGGTAGTATAGACAGTCCAGTGGGTAAGAATATCTTTATGACCCAGTTCAAAGCCAATTCAAACTAATAATTCCTTCAGATGCTGTTTGTAACTGCACCAGGGAGAGAGATAAGGGTCTTGTTGGGGCCCACTCATAAGTAATTGCTAGGCACAGTGTCCTTGGGCTGGGGAGAAACTGCCAGAGACAGTGTTTCAGAGGCTAGGGAGAAATTAAGGTCCAAGCACAAGCACCCAAGCACCCCATCATCCCCACATTTTTAAAACAAAATCAAATTGTTATAACACACAGTTTTAGACAATAAATTTATGAATTGAAAATTTCAAACAATTTTCAGAATTCTGAAGTTACTTCAATTTTTGTAAAGTTTAAGCCTTAGACTTTTAAAGCCTTAATAAAAGAATTTGTTCTATAAAACTTGGACTCAGTCAAAAGACTGTACTCAAGGACCTAGAAGGCCACATGTGGCCTTGAGGCCACAGGTTCCCCACCCCTGGTCTAAGGTTTCTGTAAGCCAAGATATTAATTATTACTGAACTGCCCAAAATGAATGAAGTTGAGAAATATAACAGATGTTTTGGTATTTTTAACATTTATACAAAGGTAAACTTTATGTTTACACAGAAAAAGTTCAAATGCAGAAAAGACTGGGAAAGATAGTCTGTGTGTATCATGAACTGATGCTGACTGAGGGTGATGGTGGCTGAGCTTGATTTATTGTCAGTTGGAAAGGTTTTATCTTGTTAGGCTTAATTCTGGTGACTGATTTGAATTTCACTTTTTTTTGTTTGTTTTTGCTAGGCAATGGGGTTAAGTGACTTGCCCAGGGTCACACAGCTAGTAAGTGTCAAGTGTCTGAGGCCAGATTTGAACTCAAATCCTCCTGACTCCAGGGCTGGTGCTCTAACCACTTCGAAACTTAGCTGCCACATGAACTTCACTTTTATATTTAAAAATTAGAAATATTTATGTCAGAGCTGTACTGGATAGCATCCAATAATTTTGGTAATTGTTTTTTTTTCCCCTCCCCCCCAACCCCTCTCTCTAAAGAAAATGGTCTTGAACCCTTTGGTTGCTGAGAGGGTCTACAATATTCAAGGTTAGGAATGTGTGGAAAAGAGCAGGCATTAGGGGAAAGGTTCAGACTGGTGAGTGGCTGTAGGGGGAACCTCAGGGGAGAGGATAGAGTCAAAGATGGGGGAAGGAGAGAGGTGGGACTGAGGTGGGAAGGGTGGGAGATGGGATACTGGAGGAGTCTCCTACCCCTTGGCCTCATTCACCTTTCCTCTGGTACTTTCTCCCCAGGCAGTGCTCTGACAGATCCAGAAGATAGTGGCAGTCACTGGACAGGTAGTGCAGGAGGCAGTGGAAAGCCTGAAAATTGTGAGGGGGTTTTGGGGGCAGAAAAGGATGAAACAAGATAGGCAGTGTTGGGGAGGCAAGTGGGCCCATCAAAGACAGTCCAATGTGGAATGCAGTTATGTAGTGGACATTCTCTCCTCCTCTCTGACCGCTGTTCATAATGAACCTGCTGTCTTTTTTGACTTCCCCATCCCCCAGGGACTGCCTTCCTGCCAGTATCTTAAGGATAGATTCAGGAAGGACCAGAATCCCAAGGGCCCAGTGCAAAGAAACGAGATTCTCAAGATATTAAAGTAATTCAGCTTTATGAGGGAAGACAGTCACAAAATGAAGGACAATGGAAACAAGTCTGCTGGGCTCCTGGGTAGACATGAGCATCACAATGGGGTCCCAGAGGGAATTAGAGTATTCCTTCCCAAACCAGCAAAGTCTGATGAGTTTTTATAGAATTTGCTGGGTCTAACAGGACCAGGCATTGGGTGCAGGGATCAAGGAGATTGGTGCTGATTCATGCTAGTAGGGGGAGGAAAGACTCTTGAGTAAATGGAGGCCAGTTGATATTCACTCTCCATTGATAGAAAAAGAGCTTTGGGCAG